GCGATATAGGATAATAAAAACAAGGACAAATAGGCTGAAGAATAGCTTTTATCTCAGAGCTGCAACTACTGTATATTGAACTCTACTGTATAGTGCAATATTAATGTAACATCAGGGGTTGTGCAATGGTGATTAGAATGTGAAGGACGTGTGTTTTTTATTCTATGGTTTATATATTTATAAGGTGCGCTGGGGATGGCATTTAATTTCGTTGTACGATGTACAATGACAATAAAGTTTACAATTTACAATTTACAATCCACAGATAAGCCGAATCCAATTTTTGGGATGTATTTTGTCACCTTAAATTTGCGGCTTATCCACTAGTATATACGGTAGTTTTGCAAGGAACTTGCAGCCAAGCCATACAGGTAAAATAACAACACTTTGAATTGTATATACGGCTCTACCGGAAGCCAATGCAGTGACTGCAATACAGATGTCACATGGCTGCAACAGTTCCCAACTCCCAGCATCCCGGTAGCTGCACTTTGCACCTGCAGGAGTCTTCAAAGACAACCCCGTGCAGAATGCAGATAGAGAACTGCGAACTCACTGTTTATAGCAAGGCCTTCAACACTGTCATCCTCTCTAAAAGCATCCCGCTCACAACAACGCAGGCAGAGCACCTGTCTGCAGCTCTTTAAAGCAGCTGCATCTTTCCACAGGATCACCCAGGATAGGTGTAGCTGTCTTAAAGTATTGCTGGCGGGGGCTACGTTTGTGTCTCTCTGCACTTTGAAGCATCTTTTTGTCATCATGTGCAAAGCACTGCATAGACCTAACAGCTTGTCTTTACAAATCCTATGCTTGTATCACCTGTGTGAAGACTTGTGGCTGATGGGGAGAGGTACAAAATCCCCCATTTCTCCAAAGTTTATTTAAAAATTCCAAATAACAAATACCGTGCTATAATATATGCATTAGTCCTGGTCCTCCTTAATTTGTATCCCCTTTTGCCTCAGGAAGAATTTCTTCAGGTTCAGAAACTTTTATCAGTCACCCCTAACCTGACCTGCCTCAGAAGCAATGGACTGCCATTTACCCAATATTTACCTATGATGTTATGGCCACACTAGCTGGAAATTCTACAAAGTGTGATCCTGGAAGGTATTACATTGTGTAGGATTAGTGTATATCATTTTGAAACAAGCAGGCATCTTAAGTATTTATATTAACAAAAACCATACTGGGAAAATTATTTTGGGCCAAGTGCCAAGGACATATGGTATATCCCAAAATGAAATTAAGATTGCAGTCTCACCTGATTAATTCATATGTTTCTCCAAGGAGAGGGTTAAATGGTTTGCCTGTTCTCTCCCACTGAGCGGCTACAGCAGAGACAGCAAAAGCAGCAACAGCCTGCAAGATGCATTAAGGGTAAGAGGTTTCCCCCAAAATAGAAAATAACCCAAACTGGCACATCTTAATTAATTATTAATGTAATAATATTACTAAACATCATTATTAAAGTTCATATGCTCTTATCCAAGGTTCTCCACCTTTTGGAAGTGATAGGCACATTGAAAACATTGGTAAACGCTGTGGGCACACTCACAAAATGATTGCTGGGGAAGGCTCCTCCATTCACAAAAAGGCTGAATTAGGCAAGTTCCTACTGCCACTTCCTCTAGAATAGCCCCTCCCTGAATGTCTCCTACTATTCCAACTTATCTTTGAACTTTTTCTGAGCATATGAGCACACTTCCAAAGAACAGACCTACAACTGACCATTTTTATTATGTTTTTTTCTTCCTATAATACATAATCAGGACTGACCCTAACCTCAGGCAAACCTGGGCCTTGGCCTTAATTTGACAGTCTGCTGTTCGAAGCAGGTACTTCCTTTTCCCTAATGAAAAGCCAGCCCTGATTATATGCTTTTCATCTGTTCAGAGGTTTCCCCCATTCAGATTCATTATATGACCCTAGGTTTCTGTCCAATTTCTCTACCCCATGCTTAATACACCTCCATCATTTTTTTTCTTTACTTCTAAACTAAAAATCCCCAAACTTTTATTTTGTTCAGAGAAACCCTGCTCTAGACCATGTATAGTTTAATTGCCCTTTCTGATACCTTTTTCCAGCTCTTACATAAGAAGTTCATGAGAAGCATCGTAATTACTGTTCCAAGTGTGGCTGGATGATAGATTAATTCCTCGCCTAATGATCTCCAACATGGACTTTGCATTTTTGATTGCAGCTTCCCACTGGGTCAACATTTTCTTGTGACTACAGAATATAATTCTACAGTTTTTTGGCTTTATCCCTCTGCAGGATAGGTTGGTGTATAGAGTGGCCATCACAAACATATAAGTTTCTTAGACCCCTTCCTAGGATCTCCATCCTCTTATTCCCTCTAGCAGAGTTCCAGGTGCTTGGATATAAGTATCGCCCAAGTGAAAGAATTCCACTCCAGGACAGATAGTTAAGCTGCTACTATTCTTTTTACTATTTTTTATTTATTTTTTATTTAATTTATTTTTTATTTAATTTATTTTTTATTTAATTTATTTTTTATTTAATTTATTTT